CTGCTTTTAAATGGTCTCAGCTTGATGAAGGCTGTGTCTTGCACTTGCCTTCACTCTCAAGCATCCTTGAGAGTGCTTTGTGGAATGAGGGGCTTGCAGAATTTTGATCTTTGCCTATTGATCTCCCTTTGAAATAGGAATCTGGGATGCTGGAGGGTTTGGGACATCTGCTATCAATTGTCCCTTTGAAAAACAAGAAGATGGATTTTTTTTGGCGCACCTTAGTGCTTTATTTCTGTTGAGTTGATGACAATGCTATCTTTGATGTAAATAAATGAAGCAATATTTACAGTCTATATGACATAACTGAAATAGGTCTGCAGAGCTTGGGAACTACGTATGTTTGTTCTTCCTCCTGTTATTAAATTCTTGGTTTTCTTGTTTCTCTAGTGAGGTATCAGTATTGCTGGGCTCACAGTTTATTTCTGTTGAGCAGACAGAAGCAATACAATGTAGTTCGCAACAATGCATTCTTCAAGAAATGCAAACACTTTAAAATAACAACAACAAAAAAAAAGAATGAAGGTTGGGTGAGGAGGTACAGGGTTTCAAAGGATGGTATTCAAATTCTACATTTTGGTTCAAACATGCATTTCCTTATTTTGGTTTCAAGCACCTACTTGATTTTCTAGATTCAGCATTTGCACATGTTACTAAGGTTCAGGCTTCAAAATTATTACTTCCATTTTAAGGAAAAAATGGTCTGCTGCATTGTGGGAAAGAAGAGAGCTGTCTTCAAAGGTATAGAAATTAATTCTTCTCATTAGAGGAAAAGAGGGAGAAAATGTCAAAATCAAATAAATTCCAATGTGTTTAAAAGGGCTGATAAAAGGCTAAAGGAATTACATAAAAGAGGCAGGAGAAACTTCAAAAGTCCGTAAGTTACTGTTAGCTTCCTACTTCCAGCTTTCAGTCTCTGCACTGATGTCAGGGACTCTCTTGCAGTCGCCCGTTCAATCTCCAGGAGCAAAAGGGTCTGCAAGAGTATCAGAAGCAAGCAGCCGTGCTTGCACACACTGCAGGACCAACACACACCCCGCAGTTTCATCTTAGGGTCTGGCAACAGGCCCAAAGCATTACCCCCGTGTGCACGTGGTCTGTGTTGCCACCGGTGTCAGAGCAAACACCCGTGCGTCTCAGGTGTGCGGGCACCTTGCTATACAGGTTGCATGCTGACAAATGCTGCCCCCATCTCCTGGGCTGCAGCGGGGTGTGACAGGCTGAGTGGGGCTGTAGGTAGGTGCTGTTGTTAAGATATCAGCCCAACCTTCTCCTTTATGAGTTTTTGGATCCTGAAAGATGGTAGAAGCCATATCCATCATGGGACGGTTTTAGGTTGAGAAGGGCTGTGTTTGCACGTTTCCTCTTGCAGATGTAAGAAATAAGTCCTGATTTTGCTCTCATCCATATTTAGCCTGAAAGCGAGAAAAGCTTAATGTGCAAGATAGCTGAAATTCAGTATTGTAAGGGGTGTTCAGTGGAAAAAAATTCCTGGTAGTCAAATTTATTGCTGAATATCACCTTAGTAGGCTTGCTGTTCCCTTCCGCCCCTTCTTTCCCTATTGAGAATAGAAGCAGCAATCAGAAGAGACAAATGTGTTAAACAAGACGCAATAAACCCCAAACCATAAAAGTTTAAGAAAAAGAGAAGATGTGTTCATTTTAAACTGACTTCCTTGATTTTCAGAAATCCAGTCAGTTTTTACATTAAAATTGTTGTTTTAAAAAAAAGAGTATTTTTATTTCAAAACTTCGAGTGAGAAAAAATCGGGTTTCTTTTGGGCAGAGCCTGTAGATATTTTTTGACAGAAGTTTCAAGTGCTCTGCTTAAAAATGGATGCTTTTTCTGTTTTCTGAAAACAACATTCTGGGGCCACTTGGGGCAAACTCTGTAACAGGGAAGTTTCAGGGTGGGAGCAGATCTTCCTTCAAGGGTTTCCTAGCTGCTCCTGTGCAAGAGGTGCAGCCCTTGTAACCACGACATGTAAGGATTTAGCAGCCGTAAATCAGGGTCCGGTGAGATGCATCCCCACTGCTCCTGCAAGTCAAAGCCCTGCTCAGCGATTTGTGTGCAGGTTCTCAAGGTGCATTGCATCTTTGTAAGGCAAGTTATCGCTGTCAGTTATTGACATTCACATTAGTGAAGTGGAGAGGGTTTTATACTAAACCTCCTACTTTCTCATCTTATTGAATTAGTGTTTTTTTGAGTGCATATCTGCATGTTAACAGCATAATGTTTTTTCACGGCAGGAGAGTAATTTCCTAATTCATTTGTACTGCCGAACATTCTTCACTCTAGTTATAAAAGAAATACTATGGGTTTTAGGTTTTTGTTTTTAAATGCCCTGTAAACCTCAAAGTAAAGCTGTGAATTTATGGGGTTATCCTCATCCGAATATCTCTGAAAACCTTGATCACAAAAGCTGTAAGGGAGTATTTTCTGTAGAATTGAAACTTAGCAGAAAAAGAAAGCACATCATTCAAAAGAAATCCTAGTATCGGTAAAGAGTCTGTTTTTTATATACTCTCTCTCTATATATATTGCTGATTCTAAATTTGTTTAAATAGCTTATGTGTTTTACATTAATTGCAATCAACCCTTCAGAGCAAACACTTTGTGTGTGATTCACTTTGTATCTAGTGTAATGATTACATGAAGCTTAAGCACCCAGTCCAGGGGAATCAGGTGTAGGATCTCAGGGTGGACAGTCTGCAAGGAGTGGCATATTTACGGGGGTGATTTCCCCCACCTGTATTTTGGGAGGACAAGAATCCCAAAACTCTTAAATAAGTGTCCTAGGAAAGGAGGAGAGCCTCTGGAAATGCAGGATGAAATCCCCATTGAAGGCAGTGGGAGCTCAGCTGATTTGGGTAGGTTTAGCATTTCACTGCAAGGGTTTTTAGATCGTCTTTAAAATGGTCCAAAATGGTCTGAGGTGAATTGCTGGATATTAACCAAAAGCATTCACTGCATAGCTTCTGTCCTCAAATTCAGATTCACAAGCCTGTAAACCAAAAGGAGAACTGTAGGAAAGTGAAACTCCGTGTTTCAAGCAAGAAAGTAACTTGAGATCTCTTCCCGTCTCGTGCTTCGCTGTTATTCTCGGTAACAGAAGTGGCTGAGCTGGAGCTGTTATGATCCAAAACACTTTGCAAGGAGAGGGAGATCCAAGGGGGAAAGCAGGGTGCTTGGCAAACGCCTCAAGAAGGTGTGTGATGTGCACGGCTGTAATGGCCCGCATGGGTCTGCGCCGCAGCATCCTCATCCATGCTGGTTCCTTTTAAAGGGGAATTTAAAAAAAGCCACTGCTGGCTGGATTTAAGGCATTAATTCTCACCAGTGAGAAAGTAAACCCAGGATTTAATCAAATTTCCACCACAGTCACACCCAAACAGATGACACCGAGTATCTGCTTTTGTTTTTCACTGCTTGTTTCTGGAAAACAAGAAAACATAAAGAAGTACATTAAGATCCAGAATTGCGGAACAGGGAAATGAAATCAGTTTGTCACAGAAGATTTTTTTATTGACATCTTTTTGATGTCTGTAATTAAATCGCTAATTATGTGTTTCTGTTGCAGTGGTCATGCTTTTATTACATAATTGCTACAAGTTTTTCTCTCACCACTAACAATATTTGTTTAACCTTAGTGCGTGCTACTTCTGTACTTCGTAATGTAAAAGCTTAGAAATAGTTACTGACTATGAAATCAGGGGGGGTCAGGGTTCTTTGCCATAAATTAAATGTTTTTTGGCAAAGGACCGAAGGAAATTAAAGGATGAAGGAACTGCAGTCATTAAATAAAAAATATTATTTCAACACCTTTTGAAGAAAACAGAAAAAAAAACACAAAAAACAGTTCCAGAAAAGTGTGGGTTTTTTTTTGTTTGTTTGTTTGTTTTGTTTTGTTTTGTTTTGTTTTAAGCAAGAAGGAGAAGGGAAAAAAAAAGTTTAGCCTATGGTAATAAAATAATGCTTAAAATAATTTGTACCCTGATCCTTTAAGCTTGCTTCTGTGTTTTCTCAGAAAGTGTTTGATTAGGTGAGATGCAATTCAGTCACCTTCCCTTTTGTTTTTTTTCCCTTTTGAATTTCGGCATAATTTTTGTCAGTATATTTCAATGTATTCATTAATTTTTCTCATTTGTTTATTTTATGCAAACCATAAGAGACATTTTTTCCTCAGTGAAGATTGCCTCTTTATTTTATTTTGAAATATTTGTATATTTATTTCATTAAATGAGATAATGCTTTTTCTTATTAACATAATTTCCAGTACATTAAACATATTTCTCCACAGACAGAAGAGAGGAATCAGATTAAATGACAGTTAAATCACTTGCAGCAATTTCAACTGTTAAAAGAAATAAGTGTCTCTGTTTTCTTTGTGATCACAAGATGTGCTGTAAAGGGAAATGGAATACTAAAGAAAGGAGGGAAAACATAAAGAAATAATGACTGACTTATTGCAGTAATACCACTGAGAAAAAAAAAAAAACTCACTACAAATAAAAGGAAAAATAATATAGTGGTTTGAAAGTTACCAAAATTCATTTTTTATTGATGAGTTCAGTGCAAGCCTAATACTAAGTAAACTGCAGGAAAAACAACAACAAAATAAACAAAAAACCCCACAACCCAAACAATGCCATAAACCATGGATGATGAAAGCAGAAATAAATACTTTGCATTTAGAGGGCTATTATTCTAAATGCCTTTAATTTTTAAATAATTTCCTTATTTAGGGAAGGGGTAGCGAGGAGAAGCAATCATTTCTTGGTAAACTAACCATGCGCTCTGCTCGTGTGTTTGCTGAGCTGGTTAGGGGTCTCCAAATGCCCGTGTGCCCTTCCTGCAGATTTGTCGTGCTTTCTTGAGCAGGCATGGGGCTACATTAAGGGGAAGATTATCTTCTTGTTAACTCTTATTATGAGATGTTCCAGAATTATAATAATAAATGTATTTGTCTTAATTATATTTTTATTATTTTAATTTCCAGAGTCTGAAACAGCTGCTTTGAAGAGATCTTTCACATGAATGACTAGGCTGTGAATTGCTAAGGTAATGTTCACATTATTGTTTTGCCCCTAGACGAAGTTTCCGCTGTTTATGCTTTTAGCTGTAACCCAATTATTTTTCATCAGTGTTTTATGTGCTTGATCTTGTAGCCCTGAGTAAGGACTAGTCCTGTATTTGCCATTTTCCTTGTTGCTCTAAGTTTCTCTTGAATGAGCTCCACAACTTGGAGCTCTTTAAACACCCTATGTCCAATTCTGTGGTTTTGAGCTTTAAGACAAAGAAATCGGAGAAGGAGGGAATTAAGGAGAGAAAGTGATTTAATTGTGGTACTGCATTCTCCATGACATTATATGGTGTGGGACAAGTTACGTGGGAAATGGCAAAGTTGTAAAGCTTTTACTGAATTGCGTTCTGGGGCCAGAGGGCAGGCTGGTGCTTGGTGCACTTGCCTGATGCAGCTGAGGAGGGTGCTCTGCAGGGTCAGTGCCAAAGGCTTTTGCACCTGGGATTTGGTGTCCCCATCTCCTCTTTTGAGTTACATTCGTTGTGCCAAAGAGAATGTCTGGGAATGGAAGTGGTGGTGGAATTTAGCAGTTGAGGAGTCACTAGGAAATTGCAGTGCCTATGAAAGGTGATTAAAGAAACAAAATTGGAGGCATCATCCTCTGCTGCCGTTGACCATAGCGAGGATTGCTCCTGCAAAACAAGATCACAACCCATGTACTACGAAGGTGCATCAGCTGAGCCTTTCTGAAAAAAAAAGCTCTAAAGCTTGTGGTGGGCATGGGTTGAGGGTCACTCCAAGTTCTGCTGTGACATCTGTACTTGCATAAGGAAGCTCTGCGATCCAGAGAGAACCGGTAAGTGAAAATAAATGCATAGGAACGTTTCTAATGTTGGTGCTTGTACTTAAGACCTTCATTACCATATTTTCAGAGGGCATAATAATCATTAATGTGTTTATCGTGCCCTTGTGAATTAGGGCAGTAATGCTATCCTTCTTTCACACACAGGGAACTGAAACGTAGGCCAAGTACTTCACTCCAGTTCTTGTGGGAAGGGTGCCAAAGACCTGTTCCTATTTGCTGGTTTCTCTTGCAGGATCTTGACTCAGTTCCTTGCCTTTAGGTGTTTGTCTGAGGTGTCTAAAATAGGTGATTACTTGTGCTGGACTTCCTCTGCAGCCAGTGAAGAAAGACAGGGATTTCCAGAGGATAATTCTGATCTTTAAGCATTTAGTGTTTCTCATTAGGTGTTGTAGGATGTCTACAAAAGTCATGCTCCTGTCAGCAAAGTATGTTGAGAGACTTGCATCTCTCTGCTCTCAGTCCTCACTGAGGATACCATGGGGTTCAGTACCACCCAGAGACAGAACATGTGTGCCTCTGATGAAGAATCAAGTGCAGTTCAAATTCAGTTAACTTCTGAAGATTGTTCATCATGCTTGTGAAATGTATGACTGTAATTTAGATCAATGGGTACCTGATGGTTGTAGCAGAAACAAGAAAATGAAAGAAGTCCCTTGATGGGGAATGAGGTTAAGTGAACAGATGTCCACTGCTGTATTCTGTTCATATTGAGTCCCCTTCTCCATGGCCATGAAGCTCTTATCAGCATGAACAATTGTCCTTCTTGGTCTCAGAGATGTATTGGCAGGACTACCCAACTCTTATCTGTGTACTTATCTGTAGAACTTCTTAACATTGGCCGTGTCCCTGCAATATGATTGGACACATTTAGCTTTATTTCTACTGATTGTCCTTCTGAAATAAAAAAAAATAAATGAATATATAACACGTAATTGCACTAAAAGTGATGGTAAGTTTTGAGATTCTATGTTATAAAAGAGTATGTATGTAAAAGCCTTAGTTAACTGTTTTCAGGGAAACTGCTTTGTAAATAAAATAGGCGGTGAGAAAAATCAGTTTCAGAATCTAACAAGTTTGTATTTTGCATATTCCATAGCGAGGCTGTTTTTCTTCTTGTGACATAGCAAGAAACAAAATCACTCCTTGACCAAGAAGGCATGATGCTAAAGATATTCTTAGAATAACATGATTTAGTTTTTGGAAAATATTAAAGCATGACTACATCGGACTTTTTGTGTTATATAACAGCACTTTTTCCATTCCACATTAAAAATCATTTTCAGATTTCTCATCTTGCATGATATTGCCTATTTCATGCCTCTGTCAAACTGGCTGAAACAAGCTCTTTTCCCTGAACTCGAGATATTTGTGGATAAAGGATTATTACATGTGGTATATTTTAAAGGACAAATAAATTGCAGCATTGTTTAGGCAGGCTTGCAGAGGCAGATGAGCTGTACTGCTTCTTGTCCAATGCTGCAGGAAAAGGTCTGTGTCAGCGTTCAGACAAAGATTCAAGAGCACTGGGTTCACACTTTTATTCTTGGATCAGAAGGCTTAAGATCTAGAGAGTTTTGCATACTGTTTTAGCTGTGTGGCACCGTATGTGTCATATGGCAATATTTTAAAATTAATGAGCAAATTTGCTTATTGATAGAGCTATGAAAATTCACAGGTACTTACTGATGTTACAAGGCTCTGATGTGGAAGCATGTAGCAGTGGTGTCATTCCACGCTCCTGGGTCCGTGGCTATAACTGAGCTCCCTTTTCTGGAGAGGAGCTGATCCTAAGGTCACGGGAATGCTTGAGTGCAGACGGGTGGCTTGGGAATTGGTGATTTCTTGGCAGTATTTGAGGAAAATGTGTGAGACTTCATTCTTGGCTTGGTGGCTGGCTTTCATTTGGCGCAATAAGGATGGCAAAATAAATTGACAGACAAAAACTAAGCTTGATTCCTCTGCTCTTCAGAGAGGATCTTAAACAACAGAATCTCTCCCCACTCCATCCACTCCGGTATAATGTGTCTGACTTGATTATCCCTCTACTGTTGAAATATGATGCAGCTGGACAGTATCTTCAGTGAAATACACTGGAGAAGTATGGAAATGCAAACTAAAATTTGTGAAAGTCAGAATCTATATTCACTTTATCTATCTATATCTACAGCTTTTGATTCCAGTACCTGAGATGCAATTGCTTATCTCTAAAAGTGATTCTGCGCGCCATACGTTCACGGAGCGGGGTTGGTACTGTGCCCTTCCCTAAGTGATGAGGAGAGCTGCTGATTTATCTTAGACTTGAGTCGTATCAGGGACGAGATCTTTAACTTTTTCTTTCTTTCTTTTTCTTTTTCTCTGACTGTCAGCTCGCTGTAATTTTTTTCTCTTCTTTCTGAAGTAATATTCAAGGGGAATGTCCTAGCCTCCTCTGGAGGCAATCAGCTACCTCCTTTCCTGATCACGTTTCATACCCAGTCTAGTTTGGGAAGGAAATGAGCTTCACTCCTTTGGCCCTGCACATTTCCTCCCTTCAGCAACTAGCGTCTGTCAACCCATTTGTAAGAGGAGATCGGGGTTGCAAAGTAGCTGTGCTTTATGAAATGTGTAATTATTGGTGGCTGGGTATGGGACAGGTATCTCTGAAGTACCTCAGTGACGAAAAGGACAGGACTCATTTGTGCTCTCTTCTCTCCGTTGGCAGCAGCTTGCTGGCCGGTCAGCACATGCAGAGCTTGGGGCACACCATGGCAGTTGTTGCTGTCCTTTCTCTGAAAAAGGTAATGAGGTGGCATGGGAAGACAAAAAATGGTCATAAAAAAACAGGCTTCAATAGTTCTTCTGCTTTGTGGAACAGATTATTGTTACTTTGTATGGAAACTCAAGTGGAAAAACTGGCATAGATGGAAAAAAAATCTACTTAATGTTTCTCTTGGTATTTCCAGCAAGTAAACGTGAACATAATAAAATGGGCATGTTTCTTGAAAAATATTCTGTTAAATTTAGCTACGCTTTCTGCTTAAAAAGGGGTGAATGATAATAAAATGTCATTTGAAAATAGCAGTGTCCTTGGTTTCCTATTTTCAGTAGGCTTCAGATAATTTATTTGTTCTACTTGTAGTTTCTTTATTGATGCATCATGCCTTCCAAAGCTGTTTGTGGGCCATCCTTAGCCAGAGTTTCCTACAGTTATTTTTGCATTCTTGTTAAACAGTACCATACAACATGCTGCTTGTTCAGTTTATTGCGTGGGATCAGCACATAGTTTTCCATTGTGGCGTATTTGGGTGTTTGTCGCTTTTATGGTTTGTATGCTAGCATACAGACAAAAAGACAAATTTTTTCACCTCAATTTGTTTTTCTGTTGTCCAGTCTGCATTGCCTTTACATCAACAACTTGTAGAAAGGAGATCGAATTCTTGGAATGCAATCAGTTTGCTTTAAAGAAACAAACAAACAAACAAAACCCGCCAAACTTTGGAGAATACAGATCGTATGGATTAGTTCGTGCTCTGTTGATGGCTTTATTTCACTACACAGGTCCATATGAAGGAAAGGGGTGAAAAAAAAGGCGTATTTTTATTTAAACTTCTCGCTTTAGTCATTTAGTTTCAGATACCTCAGCATGCCACTTGCACAGTGACTGATGCCTGCATTGAGAGCTTTTCTGAAGCTAGCAGAACTCGTTCCACAGGCAAAAATCTGCCTGCATGGATATCCTTGCATGACAAGGACCATATGTTTGCGTTTGTTGTGTGTAACCCCAAACCAGGCAGTACCAGGACCACATGTTATCCAACAGTACTTTATTGCAATTGATCTAAAATTGACAGGAATTATTTTTATTTATTTTTTTTTAATGGCACTGACAGTGTACTTATTGTTTTAGTTAATTTTGAGCTTGTGGGAAAGATATTTTCTTAATTTCTGTATGATATCAAGTCTTACATGACACTGAAACTGTTTTGTCTGTTAAAACAATTGTTAGGAAATAGGCCACAACCACCAAGAAGCTGTTAGTTCTGTTGGTCACTAGTCTGACTGTCACCATACATTGGAGGACAGTTTGGATGTAATTTGGAGAAATTATTAGAATTAGAATACTATTAGGTAGTATTCTGTAGCTTCTGTAAAACAAGGATTTTTAAGCAAAACAGTCAGTGACTTTCAATGTTA